ACAAAACAATATTCTGTCACACAAGTTTTACTGATTTTGTTTGATACTAAATTGATGAAAGAACATTGTGTTAAGTGTTGAGTAGAAAATAAAGCATTATATGCACCACGGGGATTTTTAGATTAGGTATAATGCCCTTCAGGCGAAATATATTCCTCGGGACCCTCGGGCCTACATAATCCCCTTCTTGGTACATAAATAGCTATTAAATTTTTGTTATTCGATGAGAGAGGTGCCCCGCCATGTCATAATTCATTACATATTATAGTGACATTTGTTATTATTTAATTTTTTATGGTCAATAAATATATCGATATATACTGTTGTATTCCTTTAATTGCTTTAACCAAAGACAATACTACTACTCGTAGTAGTATTGTCTTTGCTTTAACACGTTAAGTTACTCGGAGCTGCTCAATGTCAAAAGCTTGAACTTTGCTTTTAAAAGTGCCTCAAGCACTTGAGTCGCTCAGTGCATCCCTCTTTTCCCTGATGCTCCAAATTTAGAATAATGAGGTTTGTTTGTTTGAGTCGCACTAACTTGAACTGAGCTGTAATATTTCAGATTATGGCAGATAAACCAAAACGCTCACAAACGAACGCGCCCCAGGAAGTGCTGCCCCGAACAACACAAAAAACAATGAAACAAATCTATAATCCTTTTCACGTGTCTCCGGTTTAACAAACCGCAACATACCGCTCAAATTCGAGCGGCATCGAAGATGTCACTTTGTAACCGGGCTAGAAAACGGTATGTCATTTCTCTAACCGCCTCGGCGATATGGTTACGTCGAGCGGTTAGAAGAAAAAAATATAAACAACGGAGAACGGGAAAGTTCGGAAAAGTGTAAAAAGTAAATAAAAAGTTGTGTTTTGTATATAATATTATATTCTATGAATTTGAAGCCCGAAAGTCGTTTTTCCTTGTATACAGCCTGATTTACGAGGCCCGTGCATTAGAAATTGTTCCGTTTGTAGGTGGATTAGCATAAATACCATCTAGGGCCGGTTTCTCAATAGCGGGTCACCTCCGGGTTGGTTTTACTTTTAACTCCAGGGTAAGCGTGTGGCGTGTGCAGTTGCAGTTGCTATGTTTACCCTGGAGTTATGCTTAACCTGGGGATGACCTGCTATTGAGAAACCGGCCCTAATCTACCTGCTAATGCACGGACTACGTAAATCACCCTGTATTATACTCAAAATAGTTGTATTCCTTTCACATTTAGGAGGAGCTCCGGAACAGCTCCGGGGCTTCACGCGCTAATTCCTTTCGAAAAGTGTTTGTCGTACCACGCATCTGTTCCCTGCAAATCGGGGGCTACTAAACACCGGAGCGAGTAGCTCGAGTGTTTCAAACTCTTGAAAGGAATGCAACTAAAATGTACCAGAGACGAGACAATCCCACTTTACCTACTTGATAGGCTGTTGTAGACTGTAGAGGTAACGTGAACTTATAAACTTTGCATAAACTGATTCTAGTAGGTCTATCGTAGGTCTATCCACCCATGGTCCACATCTAAAGCATTGAACGAAAAGAAATTAAACTTCCTACTTTTCACTTTTTAGCTTGCTGTAATGAAAAGGAATGAAATACTCGATAATTCCACAATTTTGAAAAAAAAAAAAACTTGCTTCCCATATTTGTTCACATATTAATTAATTGTGAATTGCTCACATTTAAGAGAGTTTTTTCCATAGTAGACATAATAGGTAGGTACCTAGGTCAGGGGTCAGATTTACCGGCACTGGCGAAAATATTGAAAAATCAAAAATTATAAATACAAAACAAGTCAAACACCTGCTCAAATCGAATTTAGAATAACATTTTTCTAACCCCGTTCGTTTTCAAATGGCATTTTAAGTAATAGAGAGCTCTGGTGCCTCAGACGCTACGCTAATTACTGTATCCCTTTTCTACATCGAGTTACACCGAACGAGCTCCTCGGAGTCACTCCAAAACACACAATTCAGATTTTATCATTATTTTTTAATATTAACATTACCGTCATTACCTAAAAGGGTTTTTTGCACCCCCCGCAAATTTGGTGCATCAGGGGAAAGGGGGATGCACTATGAGCGACTCGAGTGCTTAATGCACTTTTAAAAGGAACGTTAAAGCTTTTGACATTGACCAGCTCCGAGTAACTCAACGGGTAAAAGGAATACAGTAAATACGGTACCGCTAATAAAACGGTATTTTACATGATATTTTATAGTTCTCGGACACGAAGACGAAGACACAAAAATCCACTGATCCCTTATTCTGTTTACATTTTGACAGCTGAGTTGAGTGATTTAACCCAACTTTTTTTTGCTTGTTTTCTTAATTTATTATTTATCCTAAAGATTCTGAGTTTGAATAATTTCCCCTTGGTGTTTTTTATGGAGGATTATTAGAAGTTGTTGTTCTTGCAGACGTAAATTCAGCGTAAACTAATTTTGACATAGCATAGCGTTACGGTAAAGCATCCGCTAATGGCCATTTCCACCAACTAATTTAGGGAAGCCCTAACGATAGGTATGTACGGAAGCCCGGTTGTGCAATCTGCCTTCCGAGTTCTTAGTTCATAGTTCTGACGTCACAACTCGGAATTTCTGATTTACTACGTCACAACTCTGAATTTCTTATTTACTACGTCATAACTCGGAAATGCTCATTTATTGTTAGTTTGGTTAAAATTCAAAATATAGTAGTACGAGTAGGTATATAGAAAATAGTCATATCGTATCCTCTCATTCTGACATGACATTGGAACCCGTATAGGTCTGTTGTGCTCGCACTCCTCCTATCGAGCATCATCATGACTATTATATACTCGTCTGGCAGACACTCGCAACTGCCAGAATAGGCTGGCTGTTTACATATACTTTTTAAATCAATAAAAGAATATTCCCTCAAAATTTCAGCCTCGTGGAAGCACACTTGAGGGATTATGACGCAACCACGAGATGCCTCCAAGAACGTTACTTTCTTAATTGATCGATAATAAAACACTATTTAAAAAATTTCTAGCTTTGTGGGAAACGGGTTGTCGGATGAATAGCTTGCTCTCCAAGCTCTCCTAGTTAGTTATATCATTCAATATTTTTTGTCTGTGAATCTGTGAGAACTGATTTAGGGACAGAAAATAATATGTGTGTTGCTTTCGATGGTTGCTCTATCACAAACCTACTTTTGATATTTTCACGCTGATACACTTGTACGCCAAAAAAGCTTTACACAGGGCAAAAGCATAATATATCTAATTAAAGAATTGAATGTGATGGTCTCAAATGAGACGGCTTGGTAGAAATTGGTGGATCAATTTTTTTAAAGATCTGGGAGAAAGAGGACACAGGCCTCTTAAATGATGATTATCTGCTTCATGTAGAATGTTTAAGGTTTAGCATGCAGTTTTTTTTTGTTAAAAATCACATCGCAAATGCAAATAAAAACAATCCAACCGGATACCTAATTTTTAGGTTACCATTTACAATAACATCGATAACGGACTTCTTACGTAGTAAATCAGAAATTCCAAGTTATGACGTAGTAAATCAGAAATTCCGAGTTGTGCCGTCAGAACTATGAACTAAGAACTCGGAAGACAGATTGCACGACCGGGCTTCCGTAGGTATGCCTTAAACTGACATTTCTCCTTAGATTAGGGAAGAGAGTGGATGCGTAACAACTCAGGGGCATTTGTTAGCACCTGCCACATCGCCGATAATTATCAATTTTCGATTTAATTTTATTTTAAGGTATTAATCCGTGCGTTCGTTATTTTGGTCTGAGTTCTCCGAGCTTGACTTTACCGTTCGTTTATTTAAAAAGTGTACTCGGTGCAGCCTCATTCGCGTTCTTTATTAAGATTTCCGGGGCTGCGTTCAGGAATGGCTATAGCCAAGCCAAAATTGGCATTTTGCGTTCGAGTTCGGCTCCAACCTACGTGGTTTGGCATTACAGGTGGAGGGGGAAAAGTAGGTTTTGGCATTAGCATTGCCGTCCTTGAACGTACCCCGGTACTTTTATACAGCGTTCAACTGCTCCGTTCGCTCGCTGGTCACGTGATTACGGCTCCGCTCAGCTCGCTCTACACTTTGAGCAAAATACCGAACGCAAGGAATAATAAGAAATTCAATTTTACAGATTAATAAAAAATAAAAATACCTTATGAGGTGCTATTTAAATAGTTTTCCGCATTTTTAATTATTTTTCAGGACAATTTGATATTTAAAATAAAACATGACAAAGACAGGATTTTTTAAACAAATTTTATTAATACAAAAATATCCTGCTCCCTTTTTCTCGCTGAATTAGGCAATTCAATTCATTTGTCAAAACGTGAAATTCAATATGGCGCGGCGGCCAGCAAGTTTGTTTTGAATATGTGTTTTCATGTATATTTTAATTATTTTGCTTCGAGCTTTGCTTGTAGCTTTGATTTTGATTATTCAATAAAATATTTGTTTGCTAGGTACGTAAACTATTAAGTCGGGCAGAAACTAGACATTTTTTTGTGTTTTTTGGTCTATGTGTGGCCGCCACGCCATCTTGAATGTCAAGTGGTTTGAATTGCCTAATACACGAAAAATACCAAACACTGCATTCGCTTTGTCTGCCACATAAACAATGGCGGCGTGGTAACAGAATCGAATCAGTGCGCCTATAGGATGCGCGGTATCCACTCTCTTCCCTAATCTAAGCATTTCTCCATGTAAAAATGTCATTTTAGGGAATACTTATCGTTAGGGCTCCCCTAAAATGGTCGGTGGAAACGGCCATAAGTCCCGTTAGATAGTGGGCTCCGCTAACGCTAATACCGTAAGAACTGTCATACTTGTCAAATAGCGTTACGGTATTTGAAATTTGGACAGCACGAGAACTCTCTAATGTCATCACACCGCCCCTTACCGTTTTGTAACCTGGTTAGTTTAAACCGGAGTGACGTGAAAAGGTGTTATGGTAATATCCGAGGAGCTCTATTTGGAGTGACTCCGACTTCCGAGGAGCTCTAGAGCGACACGTTCGGTGTAACAGAAGTGCGGTTATGTTTATTGTTTTTGTTTACCTACAGTAAACAGCACTCTTGTGTAGTTAATAAATAGGTATTCAACAAAAGACTTCAAAAGACCCAACGTTATATTATTTCCTTCTTATCCTGTAACGTTTTATTGCTATAAAAGGACGGATAAAATATAAATCATGAGTTTCAAAATGTTGAGTGGCGATGCAATTCCCCTGTTGGGCTGTAAGTTTTAATAATTTTTTAGAATTTATAATCTTTTAGCATAGCCTGGTTTATACTTCTGAAATAAGAATTAAACTATAATTGAGAATTAAACTAAACTAAAAATGTAAATGTTAAATCTCCATAATTTGATGCTGTCTTTTATACCTCAAATTAAAAAAATTAATCAAATTAGGATTAAATTAAAAGTTGGCTCTTTCAACTAAAAATTGAAAATTAAGGAGATCGTTCTAGTTTCGAGTCCGTTGAATTTATCTATAAAATCTGCTAAATGTAGGCTAAATGTCAATCAATATGTTTATGTCCGATTGACCAATAAAGTGCTATTTATAGAACAGTTTTGCGTCAGTAAAGTAGCACTTTATTGTACTAGTAAAATAAAAAACTACTTTATTTTACTAGTAAAATAAAGTGCTACTTTATTGCATACCTGGACTACCAGACAAGTTGAAACAGGTCCTGACAATCTGCCAAGGTGAAACAGGTCCTGACAACCTGCCAAGGTGAAACAGGAATACCTACGCAAATTTTACTTTTTTCATAATTTTTTTTTAATTTTTAACAAAAACCAGTCGTAAACGTACATAAAATTATGTATATAACGCTTACATAAACAGGCTTTTTCTACAAACGTGTTAAAAATGCAATTTTTAACACGGCCCCGAAGCATTAAAAATGTTACTTTATCGCACTAGTGCCATAAAGTCTTTATAGCACTAGTGTAAAAAGTGAAACATCAAATTTTGAGAGCGGACGTCAAAAAAAGTTTGTATTTTCAGTTATTTACATTGATATTAATGGTGAAATTTGAACAACTGAGGTAGCCCGATTGGCCGCCTCATCTATATTTTTCGAAGGATCGATGCAACCCTCTGTTTCTTCTATATCTGACCACGACAGACTTTCAAGAAACTGACAAGACATTTCGTTACCTGTAAAACAAGGTGCTAGTTGTATGGATTTTTTGACAAATGTCAAATTCAAGAATTTTATGTAGGAAAGATGCTTCCAATTTATTATTCATTTAAAAATCCAATTTGTTAGTGGTTATTGCTTTTTATTACCGTTTGTGAAAAAAATATTGTATGATATTTGTGTTAAAAGTATTTTTAAGGAACTTATGTGAATTGCAGAATTCGCTTCGCTCATTCTGCAAAAATGTACTTTTAACACCTATATCATAAATAACTATTATTGACTCATTATTTAATGGCCTCGCTCGCAAGCTCGCTTTAACACTTTATGTACTTGTTATATAAATAGCTATTGTTGTCACCTCGGTTGTCACTCTAGCTGGTTTTTGTTTATTTCTATGTTCCTTTCTGTGATTTGAATTCGTAAACAGCTAGGTAATTTTCGAGGTAATTTTGGAAAATCCTTAATTCTTAATTTTAAGTATAAACTGCATTTCTAAAGTTTAGTTTAATTTAATTTTCAATTCGATTTTCAATTTATTTCTTAGTTTAGTTTAATTCTTAATTTTGGAAGTATAAACCAGTCATTGAGAATCGAGAAATTGTGCAAATGCGAACCAAAGGCAACAATCACAAAATTGTAAATTAATACCCTTCAAACTTTAACTAAAAAAAAAACACATTCTGCTTGTTCAGTCACTTATAAAACCGAGTTAGAACACACAAATTAGGTTTCAGGTATTCAAAAAAAAAAAAAAACAATCAAAGATTGCTATGGTTTTTTAAACGTATGTCTTAGCAATATTTTTCTTCAATTTTGTTAATGAACTTTAATGTCAAAATGTCTTATCAAAAATCCTGACCAATAAAGAAACAATAATGTGAAGTACGTTTTCGTAATCAAAGCAATCTTTGATTGTTTTTTTTTTTGAAGACCCGTTACTTTACTACTTACCTAATACCTTATGCCAGTGATCATGATGCTAGTCGTCATGAATTTTCCTCGGAATGGACTCTTTCACTAAAATTTAAATACGTAATTTAAGTATAAAATCTCAAAAGAGGGACTATTTTAGGCATATATAAAAAAAAAATATGTTCTACAAGGTTCAATAAGTTTTTCACAGGCAATCAAAAGTGGTCAAATTCAAATTAATTTTAAACGCGCCGATTTGCCGACGTCACATAAATATTCTTCATTTCGCTTATGTTGTTGCAAGGAGGACCGGCTCGGCTGTGTTTGCGCTCTGTAAAGATACGTAAAGGTTCGAATGCGCTGTTGTCGGTTGTGACTAAATGTAGTGCAGCGTAAAATAAATAAATAAAACTAAACATAAAAAATTGATTGTCAATGTTGACAATTAGTGGCAACACGGTCAAATTGCGAGCTGCGAGTCATAGAAATAAATTCTGGGTTTTTATTTGGAGGTATTTCTTTGTTTTCTGTTTTCTCAAGAAGGACTTTGAATTTTTCAAAAGTAAAAATACAGAAAATTCTGTTTTTAGTTGCTTTATCCAAATATGCCAATTTCAAAAATTAGTGAAAGAGCCCATTCTTTCTGTACCTTTATCTTTAGCTACCTCTCTGTCTTTCGAGGGGTATTTCACTGGCCACAATATATGTACAAATTTCGGTATAGTATTGCGGCAGTAATTTCTCAATAGCTCACAATGCCTTGCAATAGAATGCAATACCTTGCAATAGTGCACAATACTTTGCAGTAGTCTACACTAATTCGCAATGTTCACAATACTCTTGCAATTGTCTACAATACTCTCACAATAGCCAGCAATACTCTCACAATAGTCTACAATATGCTCGCAATAGTTGATAACATTACAATAATCTAAAATACTATCGCAATAGCTTGCAATAGGTTTGCAGTAGTTCTTCACTTTAATTTTCATACTCTTGTCGATGAAAATCCTTGAGATTATCTTTATTGGCAGTTTTACACCAAACCGACTAGTTGAGTTGCTGTTTTGTTGCTGTTTTAAAAAACAAAAACTCAACTGTTTTTACCGATAAAACTGTTCACACTTAATAAATATTATAAAATAATGAACACCCATCCACTTTCTGAATTGAACTAAACAAAACTGCAACCGTTTCTCTCGCCGTTTCTCTGATTTAAAACGACAGAAAGTAAAAACTCGACAACAACTAATTTTTGTCTGTTTTGTGTGAACAGTTTTATCGTTAACAGTTGAGTTTTTGTTTTGTAAAACAGCAATTCAACTAGTCGGTATGGTGTAAAACCGCCATAGGATTGTTGTGTTTCAGTGTATGGTTTTCTTATAGTATAGTCAATCTAGGCAGGTTTATGCAGGTGAGGTAGAAAAAATGAGTAACAAAGTGATCTCTGAGAAAATGAATAGTCGATACGGTCCTAATTAATCCCTCAAAAATCGCACTTTGTCGCATCGGTGGAACTTGAAAAAAAATGGCCGCCATCTTGATTTTTTTCGGATTTATTGAATATTTCGTGAAGTATGCATTATATCAAAAAAACTCAAGAGTGCTTTTTTGTGGAGAATAAAAAGTTACTTATAATAAAAGAAATTTCAACACTATAAGCTGGAAAACAAAAAAGTTATTGGGAATGAATTTATTTAAAAATCTGGAAATTTTTGAACTTTAGGTAAAATCGCGAAATGTATGGATTTTTCTAATAAAACTTAAGAATGCCTGTTAGTAGAGGATTAAAGATACCTATATTGAGATAAAAAAAAAAACAACAGTAATTATCGAAAAGTTTGGTGTCAAAGGTTTAAAGCATGTTCTCAAGTTTCCAGTCTTTCTCTTTCACTACTGTGAAAGTTTAGTGATTTTTTTATAAACCTTAAAGTATAGAATTTAATTTATTTGAATTACTTAGTGTTTATCCAGACAGTACACAGACATTCGTCGCAAACAAGACGTCCCTGAGATGTCCACAAACGATATCCAGGACGTCTTTCAGACGTCGACTTACGTCTTCAAGGCATCTAGACATCTTAAAAACGTCGTGTTACAAAACCCAACGTCTTTCAGACGTCTGCCTAAAGACGTCTTCAGAACTGATATTTTATTATTATTACTCATTTTATAACTTTCAATTTTTGTCTATTCTAAACGCTAGGGTCTTAAATTATTGATTTCTTTAAACGGAAACATACGAAAAATTCATTTTGGTAGAAAACTATTTGAAGAAACAGGACTGAAAATTGAAAAACAAGTCAAGAGCCTGAAATTCTAAAATACAGGAATAATGAGAATTCAAGAACATGGAAAAAAAATCTAAGCCAAAAGAAAATTAGGAATTTAGGATAAAGAAGTAAGGAAAAATCAAGAGCCTGGAATAGAAAAAATTATAAAAATTCAAGAATTTGAATTGAAAGAGGAACATTTTCTTGTTAATATTTCATTATTATTTATTACTCATTTTATTTTTATTATTATTATTTATTAGGCTCTCTGGCACAATTCTGAGGTTTGTCTAAAGTGTTCCAAGTTGACTGGGTTCTGGAGCATTCTAGAAGTTTTTCAGTAATTTCTAAAGGATCCATGTTAAATTTAAAAATGTTTATTTGACAGATTGACAGATTTTTAAGTATTTTAGAGCCCTATTGAAGTTCCAAAGTGAAGTTGAATTGGTTTAAAAGCATTCTAAAAGGTTTCCAGTTCTAAATTGAATCGTTATTGTTCTAAAATATCTCTGAAGTTTCTAAATTGTTCCAAAATACTCCATTCTAATAATGGTTCTGAAGTTTTCAAAATGTTCTGAAGCGCTACACAATGCTGTTGGAAATTATGAGTTGAATTTTAAGTGTTTTGAACTTTAGAAAAGGCATATTATTGAAGTTCTTAAGTGTTCTGTAGGATTCTTAATGGTTTCAAGTAACTTCTAAAATTAAATGAAAAACGAATTCTGTGGGAAATCTTTAAGGCGTCTTAAAGACATCTTAAAGACGACATATGTTACAAAACCCAACGCCTTTCAGAAGTCTGCCTATAAAGACGCCTTTAGAACTAAGACATTCTTCGTCTCCAATGAAATTTTTAAAAGAAGTCTTTCTCTTTTCAATACATGAACCATTATTTACTTCTAGGCCTGGCTGAACGAAATAGTGTGGCTCAGTTCCGTTATCCTTGAAACGTGCATTTAGGACATCTGATTATGGAAGTTTTTAGACGTTTGTTTTTTTGGTCTTCAGACGGTCAGATGTAATGCAGAATGCAGACTTAAAGAAGACGTCTTTAAGACTTTGTGTGCTGTCTGTGTCTGGGTAGTTTCCTGCCCAAATGTTTTTCTGGTCATATGCGTTTTTGCTTCCTCTCAACAAAAATATTTAGATCATTAAATTTATTGAATTTTTCTTCTATTAAATGTAGGTTTTAATTCTACACCAAAAAAAAATAATACTTATTTCAGTTTTTTTCAGATGTTTTGAAAAATTCCATGTTGCCAGATGAAATATATGTCAATAACTTTTTCGTTTGCAGCTGATGGTCTTTAAATTTCTCCCATTATAGGTAACTTTTGATTCTCCACAAAAAAGTCCTCTTGAGTTTTTTAAATATAATGCATACTTTACGAAATATTCAATAAATTCCAAAAAAATCAAGATGGCGGCCATTTTTTTCCAAGTTCCACCAATGCGACAAAGTGCGATTTTTGAGGGATTAATAAGGACCCTATTGACTACTTACTCATTTCCGCAGAGATCACTTTGTTACTAATTTTTTCTACCCCAACCCCCTATTTTGACGCCCCTATTATACTTATTTGATAAGTTATTTGGAATATTTTTGCAGTAGCATGTTATATACAAAACATACTCTATACCAAAAGCTATACATATACTATACATCAGCGTCTATCACTCGTTGGGTATAAATTTGAATACAGATTTTAATTTCTGTTGCACTTTATTATAACTTTAACTTACGAGTGTAGGAAAATAGAACAACTGTAAAATATAAGGTCGGGATTGTCTTTTTCTCTGAGCCTTTATTCTTGGGGAGCATCGTTTCCAGGAGAATGAGTGTTCCGTCTTTGTTACTTATATTATTATTCGCATATCATTGAGAAAAACGGAACACTCGTTCTCCTGGGAGCGTTGCTTCCCTGTTTCAAGAATGAGGACCCTGTTCTGTCTCCTTCCTATGGTCCCTCTTTTTGGTCTCGTGTTTGCGTCGCTGTTCTTCAGATGTTAGGAATAGACAATATCCGAGATTATACAGTTAACTGTTTTGACGGATATACTATCCCATAAACAATAATTATTAACTCTGAACTTGACGCAAATTTCAAAGAAGATGAACTCAATTCGACTGACTCATCTGAGGCTATTCAGGAAGAAACTGATAATGATGTTATGATAACCAGAGGAACTCAACTCGCTTAAAAATTATATGAACTGGGTAGCTTTTGATGTTAAAGATTACAATTAGGTAACAGATATGAACAATGGAAGGTTTTTAAAAATACATTTGAAAAACAGAAAGTCAAAGACAGTAAGAAAGTCAACTCTATGTTGTTTTTTTTGCTGAATTAACAAACAACTCTGATATTCGGAAATGAAAGTTTCATAATGTAGGAGTAATAAATGATGAATAAGGAGGAAGACTATATATTCGATCTAAATATTACTATGTGGTATATTATGTTATGATACTGCGTGGTACATCGCAAAAGTACTGCAAACAGACAACAAGAAAAGCGAAGTGAAGTTTCTAAAATTGAATGTATGTCAGTTTAGATGGCCCGAAAAAGATTAAATTGATGATCTTATCGATTTGATTTAGATCATAAGGATTTAAATAATATGAAAGAAAAATATAAAAGTTATGTACTGCAATTACTTGCAATAGTTCACAATAATCCAAGCAATAATCACAATGGCTTGCAATATCCAGAATCATTGGGAAATAGGTTGCAATAGTCCACAATACTCTCACAATACTCTCACAATACCCTGCAATACCTGAGTATTGCACAATAGATGTACAAAAAAACTTCAGTGAAATACCCCTCGCTGTCTTTATCTATCTTTCAACCTCTCTCAATCATTCGATAGTGTTCAATAATCCTAATAGGAAGTTACATACGGACGTGAATGTCTGAAAACATGTTCGCACATACATGAACGCGCAAACAAAAACATCAATGTGTATGCAAAATAGCGTTGCGTTTTTGAATGCGCATTCGCTAGAAATTTTGTATGCACACTCTGAACACTGTAGCCAGAATAGCAAGACTATACAGTTTTGATAGTTTTGTGCGAACATCTGTACAAAGGCGTCATATGCACGTTTTTGTTTGCACGTTGATGTATGCACGTATATGTATCAAGCCATCCACGCGCCGTGTGTAACCGCCTAATAGATCGTTTGATAGCGATTTTTTCCAGTGTCATCACCATTTTTTTTTTGTGTGTGTCTGGAAAAAGTTGCGGTTTTGTTTTTTTTTTTTTCAACTAGTATTGCTGTTTTGTCGGTTTGGTGTAAATCCGCTTTTAGCATCCTCACTTTGTCAATTAGGGCGAATTCTCATGAGCGTAAGTTGATATTTCTGGCGTAATCACATGATAAAATGGTTGGATTTTATTGGTAAAATATTCGCCATATTGGATATTTTACCAATCAAATTACACCACATTATCACGTGATTACGCCAGAAATGTCAACTTACGCTAATGAGGATTCGCCCTCGGGGCGAATTCTCATGAGCGTAAGTTGACAATTCTGGCGTAACACGTAATTACTGTATTCCTTTTACCCGTTGAGTTAGGCCGGAGTTTCATGCATCCGTTTTTCCGTCGAAATATGCCCGAAAAGTCTTCTATTTTGACATATTTATATACGATTAAGTATGTCAGAATAGAATGTTTTTCGGACATATTTGGTCGGAAAAACGGATGCATGAAAATCCACCCTAACTCGGAGCTGCTCAATGTCAAAAGGTTGAGCGTTCCTTTTAAAAGTGCGTTAAGCACTCGAGTCGCTCATAGTGCACCCCCCTTTCCCCTGATGCACCAAATTTGCGGAGGGTGCAAGAAGCCCTTTTAGGTAATGACGGAAATGTTAATATTAAAAAATAATGATAAAATCTGGATTGTGTGTTTTGGAGTGACTCCGAGGAGCTCGTTCGGTGTAACTCGATCTATAAAAGGAATACAGTAAATAATATGGTGTAATTTGATTGGTATAATATCCAACATGGCGAATATTTTACCAATAAAACCCAACCATTTTATCACGTGATTACGCCTGAGATGTCAACTTACCGCTCATGAGAATTCGCCCTAGGGTGAGTTCTCATGAGCGTAAGTTGACGGATCAAATCATAATATACCAAATTAGAAAAAATATTGAAAATACTATTTTTCGTAACTCGCTTTCAAGCTTCGTTTCTTTTGCAGAACTCGCTTCGCTGGTTCCGTAGAAATCTGATCGGTACGAAAAATAGTGTTTTTCCCAACTGGTTGCACAAATGACTAGTTGACAATTTGGGGAGACTCTCGTAACGCCTAAGCCCCTAAGAGGTGTATTTAGGAAGTATGAATGTTAGTGTGCTTTTCTATTTTTCAAAAGGAAGATTATTTTGAAGAATGAGAAAAAATAAATAAAATAGAACCGCTCCAGGGTAAAGTTATTTCGAGTTTATCGAGTAGTTTATTTCTTATTTGAGCTACTCCGACCAACTCTAGTTTGAGGGGTGGATCTTGTGCGTAGAGTGGCAATAATTCTTTGATGGTTCTTTGAGAAATATCTTCTTCTAGGCAGTCTGGAAATGGGATAACTGTACTCATAGGCGTGTTCGTCATCACATTAACTTTCTTTTCCTATCCCTTCTTGATTGGGTCTTTTTTGGATAACTTTTAGATAGAGCCTGAAAGCTAATGTCCAAGGATGGAAAAATTCTCTTATTTTCTCGTACTTGTTCTAACTTCAATACAAAATGCCTTTTTTTTTTCACTGCGCGGGTGTTTCTTTTTGTACTGTTTTCTCACACTTTTTTTTTGTACCGTTTCTCTTCCTTCCTTTTAATATTAAGGGCGGGTATTATAAAACTACTTTGAGAGTTAACTTAAAGTTAACTTTTTGAATCACATGTAATTCCAGAAGTTAACTTTAAGTTAACTCTCAAAGTAGTTTTATAATACCCACCCTAAGAATAGCAAAAAAGTGGTTAATAATAACGTTCGTTCAGTCAAGTTTTTGGAGGACCTCACCTAATTATAACTTTTTCCTGAATATGACCTACCAGTAATAATTTTCGTAAGGACGAGTGATACACGTTAGATATCAGGCTAAAAATATTTGACAACCGCTTTATGATTTCAGGAATCTCGATCTACGTCGTGGAACAGCTTAGACACATTATTCTTCTACTCCTTATCACCAAATATAATAAGTAAACCTCAAAATGGTGACAATTGGCTTTTTCGGTATTTACACGACACATACTACTTACCTTTATTTATTTATTTCTAGTTGGAACTTACATGGTAGATGGTTTTCAGCAAACTAAAGATGTTATGGACCATGCTCTCACTGTTGGTTATAGGCTGTTTGGTAAGAAAGAAAGGAACAATAATTTTTCAATTCAAGCTTCTTTACCTATTTAATGTTAAAATGATTATAACAATCACTCTTTGTTTACTTAGATACAGCAAAAATGTATGGAAACGAAAAGGACATTGGGAAAGCCTTAAAAGTACTGTTACCCAAGCACAATTTATCAAGGAAGGATGTTTTCATTACTACAAAACTTCGTAAGTACCAACAAAAAAATCTTTTTTAAATTGCGGCCCTGTCGTACATAGATATCCTCTCTAATGACTAAAACCTGCACATATATTCAAATAGTTATAAATAATCTCACCAGTTCCCAGTGACCATGGAAAAAAGGCTTATGAAGCCATAAAAGAATCCCTCGACAAACTGGATTGTGAATACATAGATCTTTACCTAATTCACTGGCCAGGATCTTATGGAGCTTCCTCGAAAAAATTGCCCGCTTTAAGAGCAGAAAGTTGGAAACGAATGGTTGAAGCCCAAAGAGAAGGATTAGTGAAGAACATTGGCGTGTCTAATTACACTGTTAAACATCTAAAAGAGTTATTTGATAATTCAGAGGGTGTTTTTCCAGCTGTAAATCAAGTGAGAACTTTAAAATTGACAAATTTTTGTTCTCATAATTTCATTTTCATAGATTGAATGGCACCCATATTACCACCCCTACGACATTTTCGAATTTTGCAAGGAACATAAAATTTTGGTACAAGCCTATATGCCTTTAGGCTCTGGAAGTAGGGACTTACTCAATGATTCAGACGTTACGAAGATTGCTAAACAGTTGGGAAAAACCAATGCTCAGGTAGAGATACTTAACATGTTGTTCAGAACTCACAAACTTATCAGAGTGAGTTGCATTGTTCAAAAAACCGTAAGAAAACTTGTCTGTATTCCTTTCAGACCTTAATTCTAGAATCAGCATCATGGATTTTGAAATGAAACGAGAGGTAGCTGAATAATTTTGTGGGAAAAAAGAGGCGAGCTCGTATTTATTTTATAACTTTTTTTAAATTTGCCTATAGTAACTAATGTGATAGTCTTTTTAAATTTGCTTATAGTACCTAACTAATGTAATAGTCTTGTCTCAAAACCTGAGATAAAAACATATATCCTGCCCCTGGTCTCATTTTAGTAAACAGAACGCCCAGATTGGAGCGCTAACCCTTCTATTTTTTTAAGGTCATACTGAAATGGTCACTTCAACAAGGAGTTGGTGTTATTCCAAAAGCAGCCAGTCAATCACACATGGAAGAAAATTTCAAACTCGATTTTACCCTACCTGATGATGCTATGTCTTCATTGAGCAACTTGAAAAAACGTCAAAAGTTTGATTGGGATCCAGAGTCACTGGAGTAATGTGCATTCCATATAGCTTTGAGGAGATAACTGAATATGATAATTATTATCATTATATAAAATCCATAAAAGAGCAAAACAATAAGTTTATAAATAAAATCGTTTATTTTATCAAAATAAAAATGTACAAATGCGCTATGTTCATATACATAAGTAAAAACATATAAAATTAGGCAAAAAAGCTGGATAACTCAACATAAAAAAGTAGTAAGCAAAAATTAGTTGACAACGCAAAAAAAGTAATAATACCGTTTTTTACAAGCTGTCATTATAATACAATAATGATCTTTGGCAAAGAGACATTCTATAACATTATATTTTTTGCTCTTAGTAGATATGCATATCTTTTAACAATAACCAGCTCACTAAAGGATTCCCTAAATTATTTTAGTCACAATAACTATGCAAAGATTTTCATATCATTTTTAAAAATATCTTGCCTTAATATTAAATGAAAATTAAAAATGGATAATGAAATCTAGTAAGATTCTTGTGTATAATGTCTCCAAATTGCGCAAGTGAAGTAAAACATCTAGCGCAACGCAATAGTGTCCAGTAGCCGGACATATCTAAGCTTCTATCCTAGTCGGTGCATAATTATTCAGTAGATTTCCTATGAAATTAAAATATTATCAATAAATTAAAATTAGAAAAGCAATGGGTTTAGAAGCAAAATATGAGGACGAAAATATATTACCTACAAACATTTTTTAAATGAACAAGCAAACGTTTATTGAAATTATTTTTATTTTATCAACAACAGAAAGGCATGCCCTATTTGTAGTCTCAGATTCCACTGAAAGTTTCATATGGTCGTCAGGTGTCAGGTTGTAGTTTTCATTTGTTCAACTCCGCGTTTGTAACAAAACTGGCAGTTCCTCATTTGTCTAGGGGTAAATCTAGCAAATCGTGCAAAGAGTTCAGGAAGCTCCACTTTATATTATTAAGTATTTTGTGTATTGTTAACGCAAAAGAAACAAAGAAAGACATGTCCTTTTTAGAAGAAACACGTATGATAATAATAATTATAACTAATAAATTGTAGATTAAGTGTTACTCTCAGGTGAACTTTTTTAGATGAATCCAAAAATTAAACCGAAAGAAGGAGGCACGATTTACATTGAAAATAGGCCCCCGTAAATTTCAACCAAATTTCAATATTTTAAAGGTATCATCATTGCAAAAAAAAAATTGAAATGTAAAGAGGATCGTATGTCTGTGATAGCAGATATAGCTTGTCAAAGTACGTAGGTCCTGCTATGCTATACATATAGGAAATATCCGAGGAAATATTTCTACGTAGATTTTCTTGAATATTTTGAAAAATACTAATCCAATTTTGACGGTTTTGGGGTCCTTTTGTAGGTATCAAATTCCAAAAACGTCAACGGATTAGTATTTTTCGAGATATTCAAGAAAGTCTACGTAGAAATATTTCCTAGGATATTTCCTATGCATACCATATCAGGACCTACGTACTTTGACAAGCTATCTCTGCTATCACAGACATACGATCCTTTTTACATTTCAATTTTTTTTTTGCAATGATGATACCTCTAAAATATTGAAATTTGGTTGAATTTTACGGGGGCCTATTTTCAATGTAAATCGTGCCTCCTTCTGTGATAAATATGAGAGTTGAAAGCAGTTGGTGCAACAATTTCTTCAAATAATCACAGCAGCATAGAACAAACACCAAAGATAATTTACAAGTAGAGCATAAAAAAATATAGGTTACCTAAAATCTACTTTATAATCCTGGTGTGATCAGGGACTGCCTAGCCAAGGATAACATTAGTTAGGACTTGAAAAATGTGAGCCATAACAATAACGGGTCTTCAAAAAAAAATTCATATTAAAGATGGCTATTGATTTTTCATTTTAAACGTATGTCTTGATTAATATTTTTCTTCAATTTTGTAATGTCATGTCAAAAATCCTGACCAATAATGCGACGTACCATCGTCACCAAAAGTATCTGGGACAAAAATAATTCATAATAATCTCCTGGACTAATTCTATCATCATTCATTTTATTCATAGTTTGACAAATATTTGACATTAAAAATCATATAATAGTACAAGAGCTAATATGATGCTGTCCAAGTTACTTTTGGTGACGATGGTACGTTTTCGTAATCAAAGCCCTCTTCGATTTAGTTTTTTTTTTTTTGAAGGCCGGTTATCTCCTACTAACCCAATGACCCAAGTATTCGAGTAGACACGAAGAACTTTTATTGCAGAACTATAGTTATTGGGCTTCTTTTTTGACATTCATATTTTTCATTACAACCTGACGACCTTAAAAAACTTGCATTTTTATTGTTTGTGGGAATTTATAGATAAAAAAGGTTTGTTTGTTTGTGTCGCACTAACTTGAGCTGAGCTGTAATATTAATTCAGATTATGGCAGATAATAACCATAATAACGTTTGTGAGTTCATTGCCATAACACAAACGAACGCCCCAAAGCAGAAAGTGCTGCTCCGAACAACACAAACAAACAAACCTAAAGAACAAATCAGTGAAGAAACAAAAAAAATAGATTTACCAAACTTAGGCTATGGTCCTATTATAACCAAACGTTAGCCAGAGTAATCGAATCAGTGAAAATTGGTTAACTACTGAAAATTCCGGAAACTAGGAATTCAGAAAACTCGAGCTTCGGTCGCTGTTTAAAAAAATACCTTATAATTTTTTTCTGTATGGAATAAAAAATAATTGACAGATAAAACCATTGGAACCGACATCCGATGGCCAGTAACTATTTTGACATTTGGTTAACCAGGTTTCAGGAAACCGTAGTCCAAAAGTAAACACTTTTCCACCAGAGTAATTTGATTACTTCCGGACCCCGGAAAACACAACCCTGGCTATATGTATTGGGACCATAGCCATTCTGTTTTTAGGTTGAAGCACTCTACCAGCAACTAATAAAGCAAAGATTATTGAAAAATTCATGCACCAGCGCAATCATGCAAAATTATAATTAAAATACACTATCTTATCAACATGAAAGTAGTAATAAATAATATGAAATTTTAATGCATACTTACTAAGGCATTTGCACTTCTCACATGTGAAAAAGTTAAAATATGATGCCTATTGACCATTGATTAGGATTTAAAAATTGTGGTTTATCGATTTGGTTTCTGAATATGTATAGATAAATTCAACCTTGCTTTGACTTTTTACTAGCCTGCCCATCTAGGAATATAGTATATTACATACCGATGTTGAAAGTGTTTCATTACTCTCCACCAGATTTTAGTTAGATCGAGCCGCAGCCGAGGTTTAACTAAAATCTCGAGACAGTAATGAAACTTTTAACCAAGATATGTATACCATTTTGTTTACAATCATCCGAATTTTGTAATTTTTATTTGAATGAAAACTACAAAAATACAATAAATTTTAACAATTTCATTTACTTTCGGCCCACGAGAGGAAAGTAAACTATCAACCCGTGGGTCGAAAGTAAAAGTCAAAAAATACAGTAAATTTTAACAATTTCATTTACTTTCGGCCCACGGGAGGAAAGTAAACTTCCGACCCGTGGGGTGGATAGTAAAAGTAAAAAAAGTGACATTTTCACAAACTTTTTAAAAGTCAGAAAAGTCAACATTACATGAGTATGATTGTGAATAAAATGTATTCCTGCATTAATAAACCAAGTCTTGTTAAGTAATTCTGCAAGTTTCATAAGAGAATGTATTTTTCTATATGAAAAAAGCCATTGTCGATATTCTATGGTTAATGGCGATGTTTGTTAGTAGAAAATTGGGTATTAAATGACCAAGAAAAGATAAGAGAGAAGTTACACAAACCTTGAAGAAATAAATTCATCTTTCAAGCAGTAAGTTATACGGACAATTGTAAAACTACACCTAAAAAAATAAAAGAATTGCTCATATTAAATTTTTTTATTTTATACCTTTAACAAATGTCATAGGATTTGATTTCCAAAAGTTACTCTATTGTTTTTAACATAACAACGTTATCATCATTTTTAGCTTTTTTTTTAACTTTGGTCCTTTTTGAAATAAACCGTTGGTAGACATACCAAGACTGTTCCTAACCAATCAAAAAAACTACTATACTTTTTATGATAGGATCAAAATAAATATGTCTCTGGCAGTTTCATAAAAAAAGAGAGTAGATAATTATTTCAATATAACATCAAAAATAATCAAAATACATGTGATATGCCTAGTCAGCACCTAGATAGCAGTCCCGAGGGATATAATAGTTTATATAATACAGGGTGTTAATAAATAGTAGGATCAAACTTCTAGGATAAATAGTACTCATTAAAATAAGAAAAAAGTTTATAGAAACATAAGTCCGCAAATTGGACCAATCACTTAACCTATCTGCACAAGATTTTAACAACTACTTTATCAATGTAGCCGCAGATTTAAAAAAACAAATAAAAAATGAAAATTTAAATCCTATAAAAAACTTAAAAAACATAGCATTAAATAATAATCCTTTCTGCTTTGAAGAAGTCTCTTTTAACGAGGTCAGGGAGGTTATTGATCAGCTTAAAAACTAAATGGTTAAAGATATACAGGGTGTCCCACTAAGGTCGGCCAGGTACGATATTATGGAGACCATAGACCTTACGTAACTTGAAAACGAATGCAGATATTGAATTGCGGTTTGCGCCAAAATGTAGACATTTTTTTGCTCTTTAAGCACAGCAATACAAACATAATATTATGCCATTTGGAGTTTTCATGAACATTAGAAAAAACTGGATCTTGAATAAACAGCGCCCTCTAGAATATGCGGTGGGAACTATCGACCTCGAACGAACTGGTGTTCTTAATAACAATGAAATTCTCTTTCAAATAAACCCAAATTGAATGAGTTTTAATGAGGGGTATGGAATATACAGCAATTCCTAAAAAAAAAAAATTCACCAGCTTCCCCCACCCTTATTACTGAAGATACGAAAAAAAGCCTAATAACCAAAGTGGTGCAACAATTAATGAACTTTTGATTTCTGTTATAGCGATTTCTTGAGAAAAATTGAATTTTTAGCTATATCATCGTAATTGCGCCCCCTAGCGGTCATCCTAGAAACTTGAAAATAATTTTCATCAATTTCTCTTGGCCGATTTAGTGAAGAAAAAAAAATCCCGAAGCCGTAAGGTCTATGGTTTCCATAATATCGTACCTGGCCGACCTTAGTGGGACACCTGGTACATATACAATCTAATCATAACAATAATGAAAGGGGTAAAAAATTTACTACCTATATGCCTCTAACAAAAGTGATCAATCTGTGTATTAGGGAGAACATATTTCCTGACTATGTCTTAAAATTACAAAAGTTGTACAAAAAAGGGGATGCCAATGACCCAAGCAACTACAGACCCATTTCATCTTTAATACCCATTACTACCAAAAATATATGAGAAATGCTTAGCAAAACAAACTACCTTGAACAAAACAACATTCTTAGTCCTGGTCAGTTTAGGTTTAGGGAGGGTAAAAACACAGCACTAGCAATTTTGAAACTTGTTGAAAATATCATGGAGGGTTTTGAGAAGTCACAACACACAGTGTCTGTTGCTGTTTACAAAATGCATCAAATTGCTCTTTCACAATCAAGATCTATGATAATTAATGGATGCAGATTATTTGAATGTGTACAATACCTATGTTAAATAAAAAACGCATATTTTCTTTGTGCCCTACTTTGGTTTTAGAAAAAATTTTGATCCTCACTCATGCATAAAGTATATTTCCCGCCATTGACTGTTTACTTTAACTCCGCTCCGCGTCGTTCGGGTAAACGGCAGTCGCGTGCGGGAAAGTTTAACTTTCTGCACTTGTTAGGATAACAACTTTTTTTCTTATTTTAATGAGTACCTACTATTTAGCCTAGAAGTTTTGATCCCACTATTCATTAACACCCTGTATACATACTAACAGAACATCGCATGGCACTGCAGTTAGTGGAATACTGCAGGACTCTACAGACTATTTGAATAACAAAACTATTATACATAAATAAATCTTAATCAGGGCCGGATTAAGGGGGGGGCTTTGGGGGCTAAAGCCCCGGGCCCCGAAATGAGGGGGGCCCCCAAAACACCACCTCACGCGGGGAAGAAATCATGCATATAATTTACACCAAACAAAACCGACGTTTTTAAAATTCGAAGCCCACACACTTCAGGTTTGTTGACATTTCGAACATAAAATCAGGTGAAGCCAGATATTTGCATCGGTTTTGTATGCCAGCAAAAACGACAATTTTTCGCACACACACTTCGGTTTTGTATCATTTTTGCTCGATCAGATTTGCACGTACAACAGAACTGTCCAACAAAAAGGCAGTATGTGGGCCCCTTTACATTGAGAGCGTTAACCACCAGTAATTCTGTAATCATAACTTTTTGGCGTTAATATGCATAATATCAAAAATATTTATACGAGAAAGTTGTATAAAACTACTATATCTACCTGATTACATGGCAATAATTTTTATTTGCCAATTTTTTAATTTTTATTTTGATTTAAAAAACAAATTTTAAAAATGATACTACCTAAGTACGGTGATAGTGGTGGATAATTCAGAAATATTTATTCAACAAAAAAAAAAATCCAAATCAAACAGTTAGTCCAAAATTACATTTTTTTAATCTGCAATAAGGTAAAATTTTGAGTGACGTTTGAATTTATTTCAGGGACCTAGGGGCCCCTTTTGCGAAAATAGCCCCGGGCCCCAAAAGACCTTAATCCGACCCTGATCTTAATACAAATTATATTTTTTTCAGACCTTTCAAAAGTTGCAAATAGGTACCTAATTATACTGCCAATAATCGCAACAACTGGATTCGTTATATGAAAAATAATGAAATTTGTAATTTCTGTTAAGACAAAGTTTGGCATCTGCCAGTAACTGAGTAAAAATAAACAAGAAACAATAACGTGTAGTTTGAATTTGAAATATTCGTGGAAATGAGCACTGGAGTTATCTGCTATTTTTTGATTTGAGTACTATATTGCCCAGGACTGCTGTCTGATAGGTAAGACTGGTATTGAAAAAATAAAAATTACAATAATTAGCACCTAGTTTTGATAAAATCATTCAACTAATTTTTCTGATCTCTATAGCAAGAGTAATGGGTATTTAATTTAAATCTGGGAATTATAATACTATAATTATCACAGTGGAAAAAAAAAGGCATGATAATAACCAGATTATAAATTCAGTTTTTTAATATCTAAAACCTCTAGATATTTTTCAACAAAACAAACTACAAATAATCTATAAAGGCGACTAAAAATGATGATTTCAACTTCCAAAAATCTACTGCAATTTTCAGTAGTATAGTGTCTACAACACAGATGTAGTAATTATTTAGCTAAAAAGTTTTCATATTTTACAATTTATCTTGTTCTTACACTTATTAATAAGGTTATTTTTTCTTTATATAATTTATATATTCTAAAATGTACCAATAAGTATATAATATACTCTATAAAACACTAATTTGACATGTGGTACATTGTTGTCATATTTCAAGGCAATCAACAGTAGCCATTTAGTTCATTCAATAAACATATGAAACGGTCAAATTGATATCTGAATTACATATAACAGGCGAGAAAAAATAACAGAATAGATTTTTATATAATGTCCTGTTTTATAAGCTATATTTGTATGCTAAGGATAATACAAGTTCTCTAGGATTTTTATCATTCTTGCCAAAATATGTATATAAATATCCGCATTATCCACATTATTGAAAATGCTGTAGGTATAATAAAATATTATGTAATTGAACTTTTAAAGGATCTCTTCTCTAGTTACAAACAATTACATATATCCTAACTTGTAAGGAATTTTAGTTGTTTTTTTTTAGGTTCTTTCCTTGCTTAAGGTGCACTTGCTTCTGTTCCTCAAGCAAAACATTAAACACTAACACGTTATTATTCAACCAAAATTTACTCAACAATGATTTTTTTAATACAATAGGTATACGGGAAAACGATTAAAGTAAAAAAAATTCTCTGTTTCAAAAAATCGCCGACGTCTTGAAATAGAGGAATTGGTTTTACTTTGTCCTCTTCCCGCAAACCTTCTACTGTAATCTGTATAAAACCCATTAGGGCACAAACTAGCTCCACAATTATTTTTTCAAAAAAATCGTTGCGGGCTATTTTTAAAATTGATAGAAAAGAGATATCGAAGGGAAACGTTTCTACTGGAAATGGTTATTAAAAATAAATATATCTACAAGTATCTCTAGATTTTTTTCATAAGAAATTTGTTACTGTTTTCCATTTTAGATTAAGTTTATATTTTCAGTTTTCCAATAAATGAGGAAATTCTGCGAAAAAAATTTATACAAAAAAGTAGCTGTAATTTTAGTTTCTAGGACAAGTTAACAAATATTATTTGGCAAAAATTGACAACCAAAAAGAGAAAAAAATATTTTAATCTCAAAGTTACACTTTGGCTCATAGTTAGTATTTTTGATTTGATTTGGATGGGATGATCTTTTCCCTCTTTCCAAGTCCAATTTTTATCAACAAATGATCAACTGGCCTTGATTTACAAAGCATTTTTTTTAAAACAATGCATTTTATTTCCAATTACGAGACCATACCGGCAATATTTCTGTGTGTGAATAAACTAAGCATTAATCGAACTAGAACACCCCAATTTTTGGTTACTTTTTGTAAGACTCAACTATAAATCAACATCTAGCAGGCCGATTTTGTTCAAATTTTCAGGAGTGAGAGGCTGCTCTTATTATTGCTATTTAATTTCCAGTTATTAACAGATTTCCGTCCACCTGCTAAAAGATACAGGGTGAAACATGAGTTGGCGAATTTCTTGCGATAGTTGGGGTTCACCCCATTCTGCTGGAGGGAGGGTTGAGTAGATTTTTGGTATTCAGTTTATAAGAGTACCTGAGTAACTCAGGACGTTTTCGAGATTTTTTGAATATCGCAGCCCACTATACGATTTTATCATGAGTTATGCGATTTTATGTGAAATATAGCTTTTGACGTCGCCATTATTTCTTTTCAAAACAAACACTACAATTATGGCGCATGTGAAAACACTCTGTATATTTTTGTAGGATGTAAATTGATAGGATTCAACCGAAGGTTGAAACTCAACCATCGGTTCAGTGTTTTATAATACTGGCCATTAGACATATACACGGTTCTACAAAAATATACAGCGTGTCTGTTTTTCTAACCAGAGGAATCTCGGTTATTATAAAATATACGAGGTCGGTTGAATTCGGGCAAAATCGCGCCCTTATTTTATTGCCAATAAAATGGCGGTTTGAAAGGACATCGCACACATCTTATGGGTTTTCGGGGACCGGTCGATTTTTTTAAAAATTTGGTATGTTGTAGTACTAGGGAAAATAAGTATTTTTCATCATTGCTCAAAATCTTTAACTATACAGGGTGACCCAGTAAAGTAGGTTCGAAAATCATAAACCAAGCCTCTCTATTATCGGTATTAGCGCGCCCTGCAAGCTAAATATCGAGATTTTTGTTTTCGATTTCGCAAATAAATAGTCAGATAAGCCTAATATACTATACAGGGTAGCTGAGCTTGCGTATTTTTTAGAAATCCTGCCTTATTTTTAGAAATAGTGTTACCAAAAAGGTCGCGCTGGATTTTATTTAGCTGTAACTTTTTTAATTTTTGTCCGATTTAAAAAAATGTGGTATCAAAATAAAGCCCATATCACAGGGATGTCATGAAATCTAAAAAAATTGAAAATGTGATAAAATTCGAGATGGTTGAACGTGATAAAAGTATAACTTTTCATTCGATTAGGGTCTTGGATACACCAAATACACCTAAATTAAGGAGCGGTTCCTCAATTGCGAGTAACTCTAGGGGTTAACTAACCCGGTGTTAATTTCAACCTTGCCAGGTTAACTGAGGATTGTGTTTCTCAAGCATCCACTGTAGGTGGAGTTAATAAACACTGGGTTAAGCAATAGTTGTTAGCATTATTGTTTACCAGAATGGTGATCCTAACATATTTTTGATTGGTCGAAAGCAGTCACGCATGGGTCGATCGTCAAATTAGCCCATTCACAAAACTTTTTGGAGTTTGTTGTTAAGTTAATGATAAGTTCGAGTATTCTTTTTGTCGCACCGTTTTTTCATTACAATTTGTTAGTTTTTGAAGAGCGTGGTTAATGCAGTGTGTGTAGTCAATAGTCATGGAGAAGAAAGATATCGCAAGAGGAAAAAACTTCCTTGAATTAGAAAATATAATAATAATCAAGCTATAATATAAGCGAAATATAGGGTGCACGAGGTCAGACATGAACTTTTAATCCTTTGTAGAGAAATCCTAGTCATCGTATTTCTCGAGAGGATTAATCCTTTGGCGGATTATATGAGGCGTTTTCCTACGAAATTGTAGAAATCTTCATCTTCATCAATCAATCCATATATTTCTATTTTCAAAAAAAAAAATATTACCACAAAATTGACAAATCACGGAAATGACTCGCTATTGATAAACCGGCCCTAATATAAGTAACGTATTTGATGGATACTTCACATTGTTCTCATGTCGAGCGTAGCTAAAGTACCCAACAACGCGATAACTTTGCATGTGTAGTATGTGCCCAATACTGGATTCCCACCATCCAGCCCAGGGGAGAGAACAAAAATGATACAAACAGAAAATATCTGCTTACTTATCTTGTGTGAACCCCGAAAATATTTAGATATATTCGGAAAGTTTTAGTTCATGAATACTCAACAGTGAGAATAGAAAAATTAATATAATTTTCATGTAAATCGACTTAAGGCCCACCCCACCACCCCTAAGTTGGAGGTTTTCTCTTTGAATCCTTTCATGTAGGGCATTTTCAATATTTTGCACTAGTCACAACATTCTGTGTTAAACACAGATTTCAAATGTCCATCCAACATGTCTTTGTAATCTTACGAGTATTATTTGCTTCCTCAGATGTAAATTATTGACGATGTCTGGCCAAAAAAGGCGATATTTCACACGAATTCTATGAGATTTGTCATTTTTTCAGATTTCATGACATCCCTCTGTGATGTAAGCTTTATTTTGAGACCAGATTTTCTAAAATCAGACAAAAATTGGAAAAGTTACAGGCAAATTAATTCCAGCCCGACCTTTTTCGTTACACTATTACTAAGAATAGTGCAGTATTTCTAAAAGAATACGTAAGGTTAGCCACCCTGTATAATATATTAGGCTTATCTAGACTATTTATTTGAGAAATAGAAAAAAAAATCCCGATATGTAGCTTGCAATGCGTGCCAACATCAATAAATGAAAGGCTTGGCAATGATTTTCGGACCCACTTTACTGGGTCACCCTGTATAATTAGAGATTTTGCGCAATGATGAAAAATACTTATTTTCACTAGGACTACAACATACCAAATTTTTAAAAAAATCGACCCCGAAAACCCATAAGATGTGTGCGATGTCCGAGGCGATGTCCTTTGACAAATTCCGAATAATTCCGGAGAAATCCAAAAAAAAACGAAATTTTGCAAAACTGTTTTTATTTTTTCCTGAGTTTAGTTGATGTTATATTGACAAACAAATGCCACTTCATCATTGCCACTTTTAGCCAGATTTCTTAAGGCCAGTATTTCAATGTTACCTTGAAGTCAAAACATACCTTAGGTACCCTTAACGTTAAGGTCAACTTGAAATCAGTTCATTCAGGTGGCTTTAAGAACCACCTTGAATTGAGGGAACTTTGATACATGGTGAAAATTGTATTGAGGATGACTTAACGTTATTCTGTACCTTTTAAAATAACATGGTAATACTGGCCCTTAGAGAGCTAATAAGCAATAAAAAAAAAACAATTATAAGTAGGGATAATTGAAATAAAAAAAATAAAAAAAACAAAACACATATTAATTGAAATTTAACAAAAACAAGCATAAGTTTAACATGGACTTGACAAAAAGATTAGTACTTAGTACGCCCACCCCGATTTCTAAACACATCCGTCACCCTTCTCGGCATACTGTCTATTAAATCCGTTATCAAGTTCTGGGGAATAGCTTTCCACTCTTGCCCTACTGCATCTACCAATTTATTTGAATGTTCAAAACCATTTAACCGTTCAGCCAGTCTTAATTTCATTCTACTTCATGTATGCTCAATAGGATTCATGTCAGGCGACCTTGCAGGCCACTTCATTCTTTCAATATTGTTGTTTCTAAGATTTTCTGTAAAACTATTTTGTTCGATGTGGACGAGCATTATCATCCACAAAGAAAAAATCACTACTAAAGTTTTTTGCATATGGAACAAGAATATCTCTAACACACAAATCACAGTACCGTTCTGCATTCATAATTTCATTGAAATTACCAGTTGAATCTTCCCATTCCGATTAATCGACCCTCTTCCAAATGTTCACGCCACCATGGCACCACCAAAAGCCTATCTTTCTTCCATAAATTCTTCTCTATATGTCTCGCCCGTGTCTCTCCATAACAATACACGCCTGACATTCTGATACAACGTGAATCTACATTCATCCACAAAAAAACATCTCTGCCATTCAGCTACTCCCCAGTGTCTATGAATATTAGCCCAGTTTATTGGTGTTGTTCGATGGACTACTAATAATGAACATGCTGCTCGCCTTCTGGCTCATTTCTCTCATGGAGACGTCTTTGTATTGTCGATTTTGAGGCTTCAATTCCTACCACTATCCTTATTTGTGAAGAATTAAAAGGATTCTGTTGTCATCCCGGGGCAGAAGTAATTCATGGTTCATGGTTCACCACCTGCAATGACTATAAGCAGCGGTGCCAGTGTTAAACCGCCATTTCATTGGCAATAAAATTGCACGACTTTGCCCCAATTCAACCCACCTCGTATCTTTTAGAATACCCGGGATCCCTCTGGTTAGAAAAATAGACACACTGTATATTCTTGTATGACCCTGTTTAATATATTCTTAATGTTTCCATATGTGACATATTTGCAGTGTTCGTTTCGAAAAGAAATAATGACGTCAAAAGCTATTTTCCACATAAAATCGCATAACTCATGATAAAATCGTAGGGGGATGCGATATTCAAAAAATCTCAAAAACGTCCCGAAGTACTGGGGTACTCTTCTTAACCGAATACCAAAAATCTACTCAACCCTTCCTCCAGCAGAATGGAGTGAACCCAAACTTTCGCAAAAAATTCGCCAACTTATGTTTCACTCTTTATCTTTTTCACAATTAAATAGCAATAAGAGCAGCCTCTCACTCCTGAAAATTTGAACAAAAGCGGCCTGCTAGAAGACAGTGTATCAAAGAGAATATATGCCCAATTCTCAGGATTAAAATAGCAAAAAAATGTTAATGTTGGCACAATTTTAAAAGACATATTGAACAAACTAGTGGTTCGAGGAGGCAGAAATTAATTTAAGAACCAATTTATTATCTAATAAAGGTAAATGTTACAATAAAAATAAAATTGGAGGAGTTGGATATTCAAATAAGAACACAGTAGCCGATTAACTATCCGAAAATAGATTAAAATACATACTGCCAAACAAAAAGGACTCCAATTTTAGCCACAGTACCTTTATCGGGTGAGATTGCTTACCAATCTTAGGCATGAACATCGATTTTAAGTTTTAGGGATGTATATTTGATGTATATTATTGAGGCAGAATTTCAGCCTAAAAGCGAATGCCTATCACTTCCGGTTTGACCGGAATTGCCATCAACTTCTTTTTATTTCAAATAGATCACCACCACCACCTATATTCTTAGACATAGGTATTTTAATTCTAGGAGAAATTTTAAGCATATTTTATGTATAATATCCTATACCTAACTTCAACAGTTTTCGAGAAAATCGCGACTAAATATGTCGAAATTAGTAATTTGTTTTACTAGGCACTAAATCTGATTTTCTGACGCATAAATCCTAGCTCTATCATTTTGTTTACATAATATCATTGTCAATTTTAATTACCAGTTCAATTTGAATTATTACCAGGAACGTAGTTGTTCAATGAACACTGCCAGATTCAGAAACACTGAACACTAACCGAAAAAAATCTGTGAAAGAACAATTTAATACCACAATTTTGAAATAAAATACAAAGCAATTTTATATTTGAAATCTTGAATCTCTGGTGGTCCTCGAGAGAATTATTTTAAACTAGTTTTATATTTTTTTAAAAAGTTTTTATATTGTTTGTGACCTTTTATCGTGTACAAATCTGTAGTAAAACATTCATTTTCCGGCGTGCTTGTTAATGTCAATGTGTATTGGGTGTTTAGCAATTTGAAATTCGAAAGAAAATGTGGGAAAAGTCACTGCTTCATTTGCAGAATTTCGCTATGGAGAAGGCGGTGGATTATTTTGGAAGCAAATAGCTTCCGCAAACTAAACTTGAACGTGGATTACTTTGTATACTTGATAGTCCGTGGATTTCCCTTTCTTTTGCGAGAATCCTTTCTGATTTTGTGTATCCAAATTTTGTTAAATGTAGGATTTGATGGAAAGACAGTTCCGCCGGTGAATAGGAATTATTTTTACGAAAAGGCACACTACACACAATCATCTTTGTTAGGAAAAAACCTTGAAAAACCCGAGGAAATAATAGTTTCCAGTTTCCACACGTAAGTCTTGTCCATGGTCAACAAACCACTGTCAACAGCCAATTATTCAGGAGTACGATGAAATCTTGCAACAGCGTTTACGGAAGTTGTTAACAGTTTTTTCGTGGCGGCTGAGTTTTTTTGCATCTCCGTGTATCTGTTTGCTATATTCCTTTTGCCCGTTTGCTATATTCTGTTTGCCCAGTGGGGTAGGGCAAAAGAGTCCAGAGCAATTATGTATTAATTATTGGATACTTAAAATATTAACAAACATGTATTTATGAAAATTAATAGGACAATAGACCAATCTATTTTTACCTGTATGCGCGCGCAACACGAGGCAATGCATTTTTATTGGCTAACTAATACAGGTGTGAAGTAATCCTTTTGCACGCTGGGCATCTCCTTGTTCTTGTTTATTACCCGTGATCTGACAAGGATAAAATTATGCTTGATATTCAACTTGATACAGCTTGACAAGTGATTGATTTTCAATTAGGGAATCCAAACCACGTGACTTTTGCCAACCAGCCGGCATTTTGAAATTTTTGTGAGGTTAGAATACGGATTGTTACATGTCAACGATGTCAGAAAAGTGTCAGATTTGAGTACTCGCTCCGTGTATTGATACAGCCTCGTACTCATAATCGCGAAATTCGCTCTTTTTTGACATTGCTTCGACAATTTGACGTTTGATTCACGCATAAAACGTCAAATTGTCGAAGCAATGTCAAAAAAGAGCGAATTTCGCTGTTATAGGTACTAGGCTTAATCCTGCCAAAAAAAAACATATGTTTTTTGTTTATTGTTTGCCAACCAGACGCCATTTGGACAGGTCGTTGGATTGCCTAATTGTTTGTGTTTTTGATTGACAAATAGGTTGCACGTCACGCGGTTTTCCTCCTTCCTTTTTTATCCCGTACAAATAATAGGAACGGATTGCTATACGTAAGTCTAACATAATTTGGTACGTTTTGCCTCGTCTTGCGCAATAAGCGTTCTGCGTCTTTTTCTATCTAGTAAAGTTTTCGTATTATTACCTCTTTGTCTGATAAAATAGATAGGTCTATTGGGATAAAGGAACCTTACTTTATGTCAAGCAGCATTGAAATCACTTCTAAATTATCATATTATCTTCTGATTACATCTTAATTTCTTAAGGTGACTCCTGTTGCCTGAGTCTCCGCTACTGATGATGGCGAAAGCCAATAGCGCTCTACTGCCCTGATTTTCAATAGATGTGAATTTTGCATGAAATACAAATTGTTTTTTTCTTCATTCGGATACATGCACGCAGCCTCCTTTCCTTGGTAAATTATTTTTTGACATTTTTTTAATCGCGATTTTCTCAGTAACTGTTAAAGGGGGCGTGACCCAAAAATAAAAATAATTCTGCAAAAAAATCTAAGAAAAAATATTCGAACCGCATCTTGCTACGATGGACCGTTTTCGAGTTAGGGCGGTTCAAAATTACGAACCCCTAGGCTGTGACATCACACCGGCTTCGTAGTCACATTATTAAGACGTGTAAGAATTTTCCAAATTCCTCACTGGAGCAAATTGCAACCACTCCTCTAAGTATAGGGACGGTTCACTGACGAATGACCGAACAGAATAAGGTTGCGATTTCGGCGGTTAGCGGGTGTGACGTCAAAAGTTCCTGCATAATTTATATTCATAGAGATTTAATCATAGATCACGAGAGATTTTTTGTCACATCGAGCCATACATTGAAATTAAGTATTTGAAGACACCTCCGGTCAAACCGGAAGTGACAGTCAATTGTTTTTTTTTTGCTCAATAGGTCTGTTTGTGCAGAAATCACAAACCAGTCAGAGCGAATTTCATTAGTTAAAAACAGTCAGAAAACTAGTTTCAACCAATGACATATTACCACAGATAGACATTACAGTAAACAAAATATTGTGTCGCTAACATCTTAGGAGAGCAATCCACCACCGGTGTATCCCCTCCAATTTGGTTGCCAACTTGTTAGGAATTGATATTTTATCCTGTTATGACTTTGTACCAAAAAGTTGGAGGTTCAAGACTAAAACCGACTACTGGCAACGCCGGTTCTGTAAGACAGGCGGAACACACCTGCAGTCGATTGGCATGTCAACGCGCCCATCAAACTTATATCATATGAGTTGTCATCACAACAAACATCAGTTTATAGTTTATGAATGAGATGTGGTGTCTATAGTCCAACAAATACCATTTTAAAGTCACGTGATTTTTCTCTATCCTTGTTGAATACACCTCAAACATCGGTGATAGTAAAATTAACAAAAAAATTGCTGTCTAATCATTGTTCATAATATTCTTACCTGAAATAGAATCCGTCACTGTCATCAATTAGTTTGTCAAAGTTATTTTCGAAAATAATACAACAAACAAACACAGCTAATAATTTTGACCATATTAACCTTTTTCCAACTCGAAAAAAAGCTAATAGAAAACGGGTACCCAGTTTAAGTTCAGAATGTATTACAACAAACAGCGGATGTGACAAAAATGAGTCTCGCAACAATTGCAAATATTAAAATTGCCCTCTGATGGGTCAATACTACTTCAGAAACGCGTTTGTAAAATGCTAGTGGGAACATATATTAAAATTCAATAGTAATTAACCACCAATAGCTTTTTGTAGGTGATATCAACAACATAATCAATGGACATACGTTTTTTGCCACCAGTATCACGTGACTTTAAAATGGTATTTGTCGGACTTTATCTGTGTTAAGATTTCATGGTTTTCAACCAATTAAATTCAGTCTGACCTGACTGTTCTGACAGACATAGTATTATTTCTAATCGATTTCCAAGCCTAATTTCGGTAAGTTATCTCGTGATCACCCGGTATTAGTATATTACAATCCGAGACGGGAAATGCTTCATTACTGGTCGAGAGGTTTTATAGTTTATCGAGACGCGTAGCGTCGAGATAAACTGAACCTCGAGACAGCAATGAAGTTTCCCGTCGAGGGTTGTATATTATTTTATTTTTAACCATAATTTCTTGAAAAAAAAAAATCAGGGCAACCAAATGAGGTCGGCAAATGAAGAGGAAAATGAAAACGTGAAATATTTCCCTGCTCCATTTTCCGTCCGTGGACGGAAAATGAGGACGGAAAAAATTTCCCGTCCTCACTTCCCGTCCTGGGACAGGTAATGGAGCAGGAAAATGAAAAGACAGAAATGTGACATTTTCAAATTTTTTAAAAGTCAGTAATGACAACATTTCATATATGGTTAAAACTAAAATGTTTTTTGTTGTTGCAAAAAGTTTGCATTGAACGATGATGATTCTCATGATGATGGAAATATTTTATTACATACATAACTAAATCTTTAGTTTTAGAAATTAAATAGAAGTTTAAATGCGTTCATAGCACAAAAAAACAGAAACTGAAGTTAACAATTCCAAATAACTTTTTTCTACTGACGTTTCATAATAGCAACTTTTCGATTGTCATTTCAGTTTTGAAACGACATTCTTTTAGGCACTGAGTGCGTGAAAGTTACTTTTAGGCACTCAGTGCGTAAAAGTGACTTTTGAATGCGTAAAAGTGACTTATGAGTGCGTAAAAGTAATTTTTAAGCACTAGTGCCTAAAAGTGTCATTCATTATTCAGAAATAAAAAACACACTAAACACATATTTGAATTTTGTTTTGTATTTATTATGAATATTGAAAATGGAATTACTGAATTGAACGTTTGGGTTACTCAAAACAGAAGTTTGTGTTATTACCTACTTTCTAGGATTTTAATTATTGATGTCGAATTTTGAAAAGAAAATCGCATGAAAAGTGTCAGGTGTCAAGTAAAAGCAGGTAACAAAGATTTTGGGTGTAATCGACTTATTCACATGAAATAAAATTGTGTTTTTTTATTATAAAATGCCAGTAGAAAAAATCTTGTATACAATACGTTACGAAACGATGTCTTTTAGTCACTCGACGTGTTGTCCAACTCGGCTTTGCCTCGTTGGACAATTTTCACGTCGCGTGCCTAAAAGACGCTCATTTCGTAACTTATTGTATAAATAGCTATTTTCGCTTTTGTTTGGCAGGTATTATTTATTTTTTCACAGTATACATCGGAGATTCACTTGAAAAATCGCAATTAAACTTAACCAACCAATTTTTGTGAAAAACTGAGGATAACAATTACCTAAAATAGCTAACATGCTTAAATATTTACAATTTTTCTAATAATAAGGATTGCACCTAAATTATTAAATCATTTGAACTATTGTTGTTCTTTTTCATTGTTATATAACACATCGTTTGTTACCAAAGTCATTGGAGGTTAGAATATCGGCAATGGTAGTACCTTAAATGTGTTGCTAATATTTTGGGACATAAACTAATATAGTTCGTTGATTGAGCTTTTATACTGGAAAATCAAATACTTGAAAATATTAATTGTAACCAGCGCTACCGCTACCATCAGCCATCGGTAAAGGGTCCCACACACATTCTTTCTCGTCGGTTTTCATCGCCGCGATGAAACACAACGAACTAAAACCGTAGTGTGTTGTAGAAAACGGTCGTGTCTCATCGTCGGTTTAAAATGCAGTCCGAGCTTGATTTTTGGCACGACGGTTCAACATTTCGTTCCAAAACTGTTGTATGTGGGTCCAACCAATGACGGTCCAACTGCCAAAAAATCGCGTAGTGTGTGGTGAAAACAGGCTGACGATGAAACACGACGATGACAACCGACGAGACAGAACATAGTGTTTGGGGCCCTTAAGGCCAAACGCAAACTTAAACCAGCAAACTTATATTGGCCGAAAATAATTTTGATTTTGTTTTTAAATTAATTGTTGTTGTTACCTATATCAAACCCTGATCGCTTTAATTAGTTGGGTGTATAATTTCTCAATCAACGTATAGAGGACATGGCACCTATTGTCCGTCGTTTTTAATCTGACACTTTCCGTATGAGGGGGTAAAGCATATGGCAAAAACAGGTGTGACGTCAGGTGACCATTGACGTTCTAACGTAGACAGCCACCAGGCTCACATTCCTTTCGAGTATCAGATTAAAATCGACGAACTTTAATAGATGGTAGATTTTCAGTGGCTATTCATAGTTAGCTGGGAAATGCGTCCAGACCTAAATGTGTGCAATGCATCATGGCCCTCCTATTTACTTTAACTGGGTGGTGTGACCCCATTCATGAGACATGTAAAATGTACCGGTACATAATAAATAATTTGAAATAGCTAACAATATAAAACATGGGAACTACAACAAAAACTAACAAAAAAACAGATAATTGACATTGACACAATTTCAATCACAACGTAAATTATAAGTAATGGTAATGCATTCTAAAGAAGTAGAGGGGGTCACTTGCCAGATATCCCTTTTCATTATTAGAGAGATTTTGAGCCACATAAATTTTGAAATACGTTACACGCTAAACGATAAACTGAGCAAGCGCAGTCTTTGAAAAATAGCGGATGACATTTAGACTTTTTTTAGTTTATGAAGCCAAAACTTGTGAAGGATGTTATACGCTAAATGTTACTGAAAATTTGTGGTTAAGAATTTGATTTTGTGTAACTAAAGTCAAATTTTATGTTGTCTGTTGTTTATGTTAGGATTGTTAGGTATTTATTTGTGTTTTGTTTTGTGTAATTGTGTACTGCACTTCATGGATAACATTGAAAATATAATAAGACGTCGAAATGCTGAAATAGCTATTTTCCTAACGAATGCGGAAATTTCTTCCCGCAAGAGTTAGGAATTATATTTTTTCTACGAGCATACTAAAGCTGTGTTACGAGAAGTTCAATTTAAATAAAATGCGATTGTGCAGTAGAATTAAAAATGTATTGAAAGGTATTTATAAAAAAAAAGGTAAAGGTATGATTAAAGGTAAAGGTATAGGTGTATCAACAATACAAACAATTCCATGTCACAATGATTATTACAAAGTCTTCCCGCACTCAGTGCGGGAATAAATCTCTTCCCGCACTGATGCGGAAAAAAAGTCTTCCCGCACAGCAAATCGTGCGGGAAGAGCCATTTCCCGCACGCTCGTAAAAAAAGATGTTAAAACGTTATCGGCTAATCACGTTCCGTTTATTTCCACATAATTTGCGCATGAGCAAAATAACCGATAACGCATAACGTTGATCAAATAGGTAGCTCAAAATCTCTCTATTATCAAGAGCTTCTTGTGTTTTAACATTTAATTAAATGAGAAGATTAAATTTGGACACTCTTTATTAAGCTTGTATTTCAATCGAAAGCAAAAATACAGCTGAAACAGTATCGAATCCACCCGGGAATTTAAGCCAAATAAGCTTGGCAAACATCCAGTTTTGGACACCACTCTCAGCACACCACAAAAAATCCACTAGTAAACATCTTTCCTGTCCTCTAGCCACCATTGATTTTATCCTAACAAAACCTGAGATCTTAGTCTAAATACAGGGTGACTCAGTGTGAACACGCGCGAATTTGCACAATGGAAATCTACAGCAATGCTAAGTCGAGCAAAATTTCTGAATTTTCACAAAATTCTATGAAGAAAAATGCGAAAATAGTTTAATATTGAACACTCATACTCTTTTGTAGTGTGCACAAGGACCATTTGATAATCACCCGACACCCTGTATAAAAACTGAAACAGTCATAATTGAAAAGTATACTATTACTTAATTGTTCAGTTAAGTTAAATGCACCAATAAAAAAATTAAAATTATAAAGTTTAGTTGTTGTAATACTTTTACCGGTTTTTTTTTTTTCAAATAAATGCATGGGTTGTTCCTAAGATACAACCCTTTTTTCACAAGCCATTTTTGACCTAATACTAAAACTCAAGTAAAAAGCTAATCAAAATAATAATAAATAATTGAAACAATTATACAGATTATACATGTATTAATTAATATAAGTATAATATGCTTCATACTGCGAGTCACATTTTTTTATCATTATCATTGTGAATGAAATATTAACAGTTAAATAAACATACCCACATAAATATGCTAACCCTGTTCAAATATAAAATATAAAACACAATAAATTTCCCTTCAATGATTGCTCTACGAATGTTTCCCATTTCATAAATTTTCGTAGTGGAGTTGTCTGAATCGTTTCCATTGAAGCAGTTTTGAGTATGGTATAGCATAAAATATCACACATACAGGTCAAAATTATTTGCCTACTTGATGAAAAAAGACATACCCAGAAAATGATATTTAAGCTCAATACTATCACAATACCTATAATAAAATATAATTACATAATAAGGCAGCAATATACAAAATTTTTAAGAGCATAAAACCCAATCAACCAAAACTAAATAAATAAATAAATAAACCAAGTTCCAAACAAAGCTCAAACCCAAAACCCTCCGGCTCCACACCCAAATACCAAACTACGTCAATCTATCTCTCCGCTCCCACTGTAGATGGCTTGTCTATAGCTGTACCTGTTCGTTAAGGGCGACGATTTTCTCTCAGGAATTGGGGGCGGCACTAGACCGCCCCCTCCGTTACCTTCGACAACCGTTACATGGCTCTGTTGGGGCGACGTTACAGTTTCATCCACCTCTCCAATACTATTTTGTGCCAGTCGTACTGCTGGTGCTGTTTCGATAATTGGCGGAGTGAGAGGCGCAGGTGCTCGTGAGCGCAGCATGTAAGCGTATGTTCTATATCTTTTGGCCTAAAACAAACAGATAGTTTGCCATCAAAACTACTCTCAACTACAAGATTTACCTCAAACGTTAAGTATGCTTCTTTCTCTCTATAATTCTGTATAACTAGTGATTTTGCACCCTTATCTGGTGGATATTTCCTATGCTCATCCAACATGGCTTCCAGTCTGACTACTCTCTCCTCATGGTCTTCTAGTTGTTCACGCTAAAAAGTAAAATTTATTTTTATCTCATTATATTGAAATAGCCATCCAAAAGTATTACATTTTACACGTAAATATCTGGGAAACTGAAAAAGAAGCGAGATGCAATTTCCTTTGAGAAACCTAATTTTTTTTGTATACCTTTTTCCAAACATGTGATTGTTTGAAGGCAAATTCCACTCGATTCAGAGTTAAGCCCGCATTACATCTGTGAATTTTTTCGTGTATTTCTACATGTATGTTCACATGAAGAAATACACTAATGTAAAGCGGAAATATTAGCCGCGCATTTACATCTATCTTATCACGTGAATAAATTCATGAATTACTGCATAAATATACATGTAGAAATACGTGAAAAAATACACAGATGTAATGTGGGCTTTAGAAGAAGCATGCAAGGAAATTAGACAAAATGTGATAAAAGACGTAGCACGCAATGGGGAAACTTATTTGGAAAACATCAGCAATCAAAACAAAGTCTCTGGTCTTCAAGAAGAAATTTGCAGAAGCTGAACTTAATAAATGAGAATGACACAATCTAGCCCACTTGCGAACTTACGAACCACTACTTGCCCACTTACGAACACAAACCTCCATCTTATTCCAGAAGACAAAAACAAGGAAAACTCGCCAAATACTACACAGAATAATAATAATAATAATAAATAAATAAATAATAAATAAATAAGACATTATATTAAAGGACAAAGGTAGAAAAACATGCCTCTTAATAGACGTGGCCGTGCCATCAGATTACATCACACAGAAAGAAGCTGAGAAGCGCTTGAAATATAAAGTCCTACAAATAGAGGTCCAAAGAATGTGGTACGTCAAAACAAAAATTATACCAATAATAATAGGAGCCACAGGACTTGTATCCACTGCTACCTGTGATGCAATAAAAAAAAGTGCCCGGAAAGCATAACCTGCTACTAATGCAGAGATCAGTAGTGTTGAGTACAGCGCATATAGTACGAAAAGTCCTATAATTTGTATCTAGCTATCGCCTGAAAAGTGAAAATGGAAACACCCTAGGTGCTCGGTGAGCACCCGGAGTTCCTTGAGATAATTTAACCATAGCCAAAGAATTGCTATGTGATACTATGGAGTAAATAATAATAATAATAATAATAATAATAATAATTAATAATAATAATAATAATAATAATAATAATAATAATAATAGTGACGTAGTTTGGTATTTGGGTGTGGAGATACCAGTTTTATATTCCAAACAAACAATTTGAAGAAGACCCAAAGAAATTATACCGAAATTTAAAACAAGAGAAGAGCGAGGTACAAGAAATTCCATTGAATGAAGAAATACGAAAATTCTGGCAAAACATATGGGAAAAGGAGAAAAATCACAATCAAAAAGCAAAATGGATAGACCAGGAAATGAAACGGAACTTAGAACTAGAAGAAATGCCATGGGAAGAAATTACAGACAAGGACATCTCAAGTACTCTTCAAAGGGCAGCAAACTGGAAGGCACCGGGGTTGGACGGAATACAAAACTTCTGGCTCAAAAATTTAACTGCAGTACACTTACCACTAGCGCGAGAATTTAACATCCTCATCCAAAACCCACAACTCCTGCCAGACTGGCTAGCTGAAGGAAGGACAGTGCTTCTCCCAAAAAATAAAAACACAACAGAAGCAAAAAACTATCGGCCCATAACCTGTTTATCAACAATCTACAAAAACCTAACGGCAATACTAAGTAACAAGATATATAACCATCTAGAACGAAATAATGTGTTTCCTATAGAACAAAAAGGATGTAGGAGAAACTGCTATGGAAGCAAAGAGCAACTCTTAATAAACAAAATGGTAACCGAAAATGTAAGAAAAAAAAAAGAAAAATCATAGTATGGGCTGGGTAGACTATCAAAAAGCATTTGACAGTGTACCGCACTCATGGCTGTTAGAAACACTTTCCATCTACAAAGTAAATCCCCAAATAAAAAATATGTTAAAAGCAGCAATGGAAAAGTGGAAAACACTCACTCACACTTACTTTTCAAGGGACAAATATAGAAGCAGGAACTATAAACATAAAACGAGGAATTTTTCAGGGAGATTCATTATCGCCCCTTTTGTTCTGTATGTCTCTGTTTCCGTTGTCAAATGAACTCAATGGAACCAAGAAAGGGTATAAAATACAAAAAGGAAAACCGCCCATAAACCATTTATTCTATGTTGATGATTTAAAACTGTACTCACGAGATGACAAGGAACTGGAAGAGCTTTTCAAAACTGTAAACATTTTCAGCAAGGACATTGGAATGAATTTTGGGTTAGACAAGTGCGCGAAAGAAAAAGGAAACATGAAAAAAACTCAAAACATGAAAATAAACGAAGAAACTGAAATAAGAGACTTAAAGGGAAAACAGTATTATAAATAGTTAAACAAGAATTTGAAAGGCTTCTAGATTTAGGTATTGTGCGTGTATCTTCTAGTAATTGGTCTTCTCCTTTGCATATGGTACCTAAACAAGGTTCAGATAATTGGCGTATTGTCACAGATTACTTACATACAGATGCGAAAGAGCGGCGAATTCGTGGTTCAAGATTAATTTGATAGACATAGGCTGGCCGCACCAATGCCAAATTTTTCGCGGTCCGCCGCTGGTCAATTCTAAGAAACAAAATAATTTTTCTACCTTATTTAGAAACTTTTTGTTCTCTTGTAGTTTTTTCGTATTACCGACCGTTATCGAGAAAAAAATTAAAAAACAAATCTCTGTAATTAGCTAGATGAAATTAAAGTGACTCGATTAACCTTTTCTGACTACAGTGGCGACAATAGAGGTCCCACAGCAATTTTCTTGCTCATTTCCATTAGGAATCTAGAAGTAAGACACCCTTCGCCGCCATATTCTTGCACATTTTCAATATAAATACATTGAAATTTCAACACCCTGTAGATTGGTAACGAAGCGTTTGCGGACCTATGTTTATTAGAAATTTTAGTCAATAAAATAAACCAAAGAATCACCCCTTTTCGTTTGTACATGATATTTAGGAACACCCTATATAAATGCGGAAGCTCAATAATATAATATTATTTCTTTAATTGGTTCACAAACAGCAAAAAAATATTTTTTTCTACCAGCAAAAATATGTAAACACACAGGCTGGAACATGCTCACGCACTCGGCCACGTTAATTGTCCTGACGCGGGCGATCTTTATCTATGCGTGGGGCCGCTGGCGGCCCGGCTTCGTCACAGAATATCGTCGACAGCAAGTATACGTACTTACGCATCTGTATTAGGTGATGCGGTATTGTAGGAGATTATCGAGCACCTAATAATGTTAAAATTCCTTATCGTTATCCAATTCCTAATATACAAGACTTTTCAGGTAGTTGTGTTGATGCAAAACTGTTTTTAAAATTAGATTTAGTTAGAGCTTATCATCAGATTCCAATTGAACCTTGTGATATTCCAAAAACCGCAATTGCTACACCATTTGGACTATTTGAATATGTAAAAATGAGTTTTGGATTGAGAAATGCAGCTGAAACATTTCAAAGGTTCTTTAATAAGGTACTCCGGAGGTTTGATTTTTGTTTTGTGTATCTTGATGATATTCTCGTGGCTAGTAAAACTGAGGGACAGCATAAAGAACATTTACACAAAATTTTTCAGAAACTAGAGGAATATGGCGTAATTTTGAACCCAGAAAAATGTAAATAACACGAAAACACAGAAATTGACCATCAAAGCATGAAACAAAAAGTGACAGGGGAATATTACTCTAGAGTGCGGAAGATCCTTAGAAGTCAACTAACTGATAAAAATTAATTTCTCAGCATAGCAGCGCTGCCCGTAATGACTTACAGTTTTGGAATCTTAAATTGGAAGGAAGAACTGAGGAAAGCCGATACAAAAACACGAAAACTTCTGACAATGTACAACCTACACCATCCAAAAGCAGATATTGATAAATTATATGTCCCAAGAGCCAACGGAGGTAGGGGATTAGTAAATATTGAGAAAACGTTCAAATTAACCCTCATTGGCTTGGCAAGTTACGTAAGTGGGAAAGTAGAAGACAGATTCATCAATATGTTAAAAAAATACGAGAAAGACAAAATAGGAAAGTCACTTTTGAAACAGGGGAAAAATGGCCCGAGCAATATTTAGGGAAAGGAAGCCAAGATAAGTGCACAAACAGAGAAATAACAGGAAACGCGAAAAGGCTACAGCAATTATGTGAAGAAAATATAAATAAAGATACGGAAGGAAAATGGACAGAAAAGCAGATGCATGGCCAGTACAAGAGAGAAACTAACACAGAATAGGTAGATAGGGAAAGGACATTCAGATGGCTTCGTAATGGAACTCTAAAAGGGGAAACAGAATCAATCATTGTAGCTTGTAGCAGCACAAGACCAAGCAATATCAACAAACTATATTAAGCATAAAATACACCGACAAAAAATAGACCCTAAGTGCAGATTATGCAAAGAATATGATGAGACTATCAAACACATTACAACAGGATGTCCGGTACTTACGAAATATGAATACATAATGTAATATTCCGAGAAAATAGACCCATAAATCACAATGTCTTTACTGTAAAAATTAAACAATTACCAAATAATCAAAAACTTAATTTTCCGTATTTCTAAATCAGTATCGACAAAATTAAAAATTGAAACAAATTAACGCAACGTAATTCGACGCCCCGCTTGTCATCATCTAAATTAAATTCTTAAAAATAATAATAACGAGGACAGTGTGACATCACTAACATCCGATCAATGAACTTTTTGTTATCGAAGGCCATCGGCGTACCTAATTAATTCGAATGAATTATGGCATTCTTGAACCCATAACGTTTTGACCTCAATAAATCAGAATATTGCGACATAATTAATCGATTTCAGGCTAAAAATGATATAAAATTCCAAGGAAATTGCATCATCTTAATTGTCATGGACAAAGAGATTTGGGGTCATCGGTTTTATATAAATACCGCGTTTG